TTGGATGTACAGGACGTAGGGGACTGGGGACATGACTGTAAGGTACTCGCCAGGAGAAATGCTTTCCTTTGCCAGCTCATGTGGGGACCTCCTGAAGATATTTTTATCTGTTGTTAACTCTGGGGATATTAGGAGATGGTCAGCTTTCAAAATCACTGCTGATTAATTGGTTGGTTGGTTTTTAACTGTAAAAACTTTATGCTTGTTAATGACCTCAAAATAAAAATAGAGTTTGGCCCTACCAGGCAAGTCACATCTCCTGGTGAGAAGCTGTGCCTTCTCATCAACTCTAAACTGCACCACTGCAATCCCTGCACCTCCTTTTCCCAGAGCACTCACCAGGTAACTCACGTGCCCTGCCTGAATCAGGAACGCCACGCTTAGCAAGGATGTTGCAGTGCATTCCCATTAGTGATGGGATAAATTCTGTTTTCAGTTAAGGCTATGCAGATTTCTGAGCATTGAAACAAAGTATTAGTATATCAAATATAATTTCCATCATCAGCTACAGAAATCTCAGCTTTTAAGCTGCTGATGCAGAATGCTTTTCTACTTTCATTTATATATCTGGGTGCTGTATATTCACAATACACACATATATACTACCTTAACAATGGAAAAACACTACCTACATGCAACAGATGGCTTCTTAATTCTATTTTGTTTTGTTAGTAAAATATCTATTTAAGTAAATAGTAAGGCCATAATTTATTCAAGATTTTTAAAAAATGCATCATAAGCTGTATAAAGTAATGGAAATATTAATAAAATAATTCATCCTCATTAATGGCAGAAAAAGAATGGAACATATTAATCAGTCGTAATTGAATGAATGGGCACACATTCCAAGATTTTGTCTTGGAAATAACTTTTACATTAAAAAAGAATAAGTCAAGAAATCATCAGAAAGAAAAACACTATACTGCTCACAATTCAAGAATATTTTCTGCAGGAATCAGTGATAAATGTTTCTTCAGAGCTATTTCTGCCCTGCAGGAGGGAAAAAATATCTAATGAAATACAAGCTGCTGCATAGAAAATTAATGAGTGAACTCATTGAGTAAAGAACATGTCATATATAAAAATGAATCAGATACAGACAGATCAGCACTATGATATTTGAATTACTGTTTATATACAAGAAAAGAAAGAGAACTTCTCAGTGACATACACACAAAACCTAAAAAAAACCAACAAATCACAGAACCACAGAAATAATATTAGAAAATTATTATATTTTAATCTAGTAGTTTTGTTCTAGTTCTACAGACTTCTGCCTTGTCATTTTTTAATCTTAATTTGGCTGGAATTTTAAAAAAGATCAGAGAATCAAACCCTCAATCTTCTGTTCAAGACCTCATGAAATAACTGACTTGCAACTCCTGTCCTCAAGGATTAGCTCAATCTATGCCATTAGTTCATCATTTTTGTTGAGTGAACACTGAAAGACCTCTCCTAATAAACCTTATTAAACAATTTCTGAAGCTTATAGCTTCATCTGTATTAAAAATCTTCCATTAACAGAAATTCATAGAATCACTGGACAACCTTCTTACCAGCCTATTTCTTTTTATTTTGAAATATTCAATAACTTTCCAGTGAGTAGTCCCCTGATAAACTATTTTCTGCTCTAATGGATATAGCAGTTTACACTCAGAAATTAATGTATGCCATTAAATTACTTTAGAGATCCAGTGTACAGTTAATTTTTACTTCATTCTGAATTTTTTACAGAAATGCCAAGTGGCAACTGCAATGGTGATGGAAAACCTTCCTTAAATCATGCCTTAAATCATAATATCCCGTAATATTTCCCAGGACATTTTAGTTCTGCTCATTTTTAAAATCTCCACAGAAGAGGCGAAAATGAAACAAATTATACCTTCTTCAATTTCTCACTACTTAATTACTTTCACTGACATTTGCATGGCAATACTTTTCATACATTTCAGTTTCTCCAGTGCAGGACTGTTTGAGAAAATCACTTAAATAATCATTAGATCATTATCCCCATTCAGAGAGAAAGCATTTAAAATGTCATCACACCACTTATCCCATAAATAAAGCACTCAAAAACTCAGTACAGCTTTATGAGGGCCAAGCAGTACTTTGCAGTTAGTAACTTTTGTGACAATGAAATATAAAGGGGGCAGCTCTGTAAGGGTCAGAGATAGGTTTGTGTTTTATAGGAATATGATCTGCATCACTGCCAAAGCTTGACTATTCTATCATTTAAACTAAACTACTCAGTGCCTTGTTAATGGCACATTTACAGCTTGTTTTTGGCTGTAACATACATGTCATGTATCTCCCATGGCACCTGAAGGTGTGCTACTCTTCCCAGGCACTTTTCCAGAGGACACAGCTCTGTAGTCAGGAGCCAAGGTCAAACACATTTTGTCTTTTGGTTTTCTTCTCTTGGTTTTGAGGGTTTCTCTGCAGAGACACAGCTCAGCTAGTGAGGACAACCAACTCACCCCTGGTTTCTCCTGTCCCTGAAGTCACTCCATGCCTTTGCTGTCCCTTGCTCATTATAATTGCATTTCACAGTAATTGTTGAGTCAGCAGGTTATGCAGTGAAAAATGGCTGCCTTGGGCAGCATTTACTATCATTTCAAGTAATATCAAAACTGATTTTTACATTGTCAATGTTAAAGGGGACTGGGCTTTAGACTAGGTCTGGATATATATTTAATAAATGGTGTATTTTTATGGGAGAGGAAGAGGAGCAGAAAGTCTGGTCTGAGTGAGTTTGACCATAATGTCAATAAGATGGTGCAGTTTGAAATGAGAAAACATTAAAGAAATTTTTTTCAGACACCGAGTTATCCTCAAAAGTTTTGACTTTTGTTTCCCTTTCATCTACCAAGGTGATAATTACTCGGGATGGCTGTCAGAAGTGCAGCAGTGATTGCTTTTAGATAGTGCTCCTTTCTCAGCAGAGTAGCAGCATCCATCCCCAGAGCACACTCCATGTCATTAAGGACAAGGCTTGGTGAGAAATGACTGCTCTGCCTAGTAGAAAATCTTCCACTCCCTTTGTTATCCAGACACTGTGGCCAAGAACTGTGTGTTCAGCCACGGACACACAGTGCAGGCCTGCAGGAAGGGGAAGATGCATCATTTATGCTGCGAGCCAGGACAGTGTCTCGCACTCTTTAAAACAAGCACTTCCTATTTCATGCCTTTGGCCAATTCCACAGCTGGAGAAGGCTTCTGTCCTACTGCACATAAACCTCCTGTGCATTTCAAAGTCTCAGCACTAGAGCAGAATTTCTGTACCTAAATGGAAATAAAAATTTCCTTCATACTATCATCCATCTCAAGCCAAATGTTTTTTTTCTCTTTCAGGCAGCTGCAGAGAATAAGTGCTAACACAGAAAGGGAAGGATACACCTCTTGTTCCAGGTATACAAATTCAAATAATTAGAGAGATTCTGTTCTCATCTTCAATATTTGGGAGGACATAAGCATTAGGTTTTCCTCATTGCTCTGTTAGACCAGGTGTCACTGCAGCCCCAGCTGTGGTATTTGTAACCCTCCCTTGCCACCCAGTGAAGTTAGTCAGGATGGGAACCTAATCATGCAGGTATTAAAATGCAAGTTGCATTTCAATTTGTCTTTGCAAAGCCACAAAACTTGAAAGATGCTGTCAGGACTTAGGGTAGAAAATAAATCAGGATTAAATGGTAGCCAACATAACAGAAAAACTGGTCCATTTTTTCCTCTGCAGGAGCCAAATGGCACCACCCAAACTCATGCCATGAAAGTGTCTTGCTGGATGGGAACATTAAGAAAACAGAGAAAAAGGACAAATATTTTTGAATTGTCTTTTAAATAGCAATGTATAAAGTGGTGCTATATTACTGGCAGGGGGTCAATCAATGACAGATTTGCTTTGCTCAGTGAGAATTGTGATAGAAATAATTAATGACTATTTAAAATTATTTCACTTTTTAGTACAAGTCATTCTATATTTACATTCCCTTTAAACAGCTCAATTTATTTCACAGTGTTGTTGCTGTAGTACAGCAATTTGCCCTGGATATTTCACTTAATATTCTTGAAAAATGAGAAGCACTAGAGGAAAAAAATAAAAAACCATAAACATTTAACTGCAACAATCCCATCATTTTCGGCTGTGGGAACACAACCTTGCTTTAAACTAAATGAATAATCTGACTCTCTGCAGTCTGTAAAAGCTCATCTGACCAGACATGTCAGCTGTGAACTATTTTCACTGCTTGATATAAGGCATACTGGGCTTGTGCACCATACCTTCAGGTCCTTGTTTGGAATATAACCAAGCTGGCAATCTTTGTTGGCAGTGCCTGCATTTGGAAAAACTTCAGAAAGTCATTGGGAGATAAAAGTCCCTGGAGATTCTCCTTAGTTCCCTTACTGGCCCTTAATATGCTCATTAAAATGGCAGAGCAGCCCTGTGCAGGTTTATACACTGCTCTCATTTCCTGGCTCCTGCAGCTCTCCACTGCAGAGTCAGCCCTGCCAAATGGCCCAGCCTGGATCTCACCCACCCCACACACAGCAAGCACTGAAGGAGTGACACGAGGTACCACACCTGCCACCAGCACAGCCCTCCCACCAGCACACACCTGCCTGCCTTACCTGTGCAAGCTGGTGACACAGCCCAAGACAAAGGCAGTTTCCATCATTGGATATACATTTGTTTGGTCAATCTTCAATACAAAACTTGCTGCCTGGAGCTAATTATGCCACTGGCCTTTAATTCTCTACCTGGCATTCTTTTCAGGATTTCACCCACCATTTTCCTCCCTTACCAATTCTAGATGTCACAGAGTTTGAAAACAAGTGGGATTTCCAAAATGTACAGCTGGATCAAACTGGTTTGGAGACTAAAGAAATACTGTGGTACTCACCTCACTGACTTTCTCACTCTCTTAAACCCTCTTAAGGATCTGGCATCACAAACCATGTGTTCCCTTCAGTTGCACTCATCCAGTCAGGAAGTACCTACAACCCTCTCTTCCTCCTCCCCAGCATGGTATAAAAAGGAATATTTGAAAAGCCTGTTCTCTAAGGCTCCTCAAGATGCTGTGAGATTCTCAGAAGACTAATGTTTTCTTTCAGCATTCCTGGGTACATTTTACTGACTCCTTTTCACTTTTAAACTTTCTATTGTCTTTCTTTTATGCTCTGTTTGAGCTCTTGACTTCTGCCTAAACTGGTATATCTGCATGTAGTGATGTAAACCTCAATTATTCTAACTTTCCATTACTTACTTACATTAATTGTATATTAATACATTCATAGCCACTGCATTATTCTCTTGAATAACTTTTTAAAAGTCTACCTCCACTGTTATTACTACAGATAATTTAACTAGAGCTATATCAAAGGGTTTCCCACACGTTATTTATGAATTTCTGTTCTAATAATTTGAGGTACAGACTCTTAATGAGGTAGGAGATGCTAGTTTTATAATTAGCTATAATAAATATGCAAAGGGCAGCTTGGCTAAATAGTGTCTTGATGATGGAAATTACTAAATAGAAATACATTAAATCCAACATAGCAAGTTAAGATAAAATTGTAAACAGCAGTTTAGCATATAAAAATAACCATGCAGGTCTGTAGAAGATACATCAATAGTAGAACAAAATAAAGTGAGCAGAAACTGAGCCAAGTTAATAGGACAATGTTGTCAGTATTTTTAAAATAGTCAAACAAAAGAATAGTGGAGGAAGGACTTTCATTTTATAAGTGGTTACTGCACTTTTTAATTATAAAATACTCAGAAAAAAAAGTCCTAGAGAAAGACATTGCAGGACACATATGAGTTATCAGGTCACCTGGTTCTTAATCAAAACGAATTATAAAATACTAAAAAAAAAAAAAGTCCAAGAGAAAGATATTGCAGGACACATGAGTTATCAGGTCACCTGGTTCTTAATCAAAACCTGTGAATTCCAGAAAATATGCAAACTCATACAACAAAATTGAACTAACTTTCCTATGTCTTTGCTGTGGCAACAATTGAATCAGTAGGAGCAAAAGTTGTCAGATTTTCACAACCAGGTGTTTCATGCATACAACAAAATTGAACTAACTTTCCCATGTCTTTGCTGCGCAACAATTGAATCAGTAGGAGCAAAAGTTGTCAGATTTTCACAACCAGGTGTTTCATATTTCTCTGCTTGACTTTCCTTCATTATCCTCTGGGATGTTCTGTGACCATCAGAAACTGAGCTACTGCTGCTTGGCTCTCCATCCATCTCCACAGAGCTGCTGGGCCAGCACTTGCTTTTTACTTACCATAACTGCAAAGTGAAATGAGTTAACCTATGCCACCTGACTTGTCCCAGCACCTTTGGAAGAGTCCCAAATTCAGTAATCTATCAACTCCAGAAGCCAAAATTTGCTGTGCTGTCTGCACACATCGTGTGACTTGTTCTGATGCAGGGACTGTCCATATACTCAGCATTGGTGTCTTCTCATTCTCGTTTGACAAGAAGCAGATGCTTAGACTAACTTTTTATCAGAGCTCCTTTGCTTTGAACTCTCTGGCCCATCTGTGACAGTATTGTTTCTCCTGGGAACAGTCCACACAAACTGCCACCATGGCTACAAACAGTGAGATAAAGAGAGGAAGCTTATCAGCAGACTTTAGCATGTGCAAAATTATACAGAGAAAACTGGTCTGTTCTCTCATGGTGAGGCACAGCCAGTTTTTCAGCAAGACTCTGTCCTCCTCAGTGTCCATGCAAAGTGTGAGCTGGTTCACATCCAGGCTCCTCTCTGACAGAGGTCAGATAGCTCCAGGCAGGGAAATGCAGCTAGAACTGCAGGTTGGATCATTCAGAGATTTCTGTTCTACAAGTAGATGTGTGTGAGTGGTGACCAATGTACAAGAGCAGTTATTCCTTCTTGAGCAGAGAAAAGGCCTAAAGCCATCTCAGAAATCTGGTCAAGATTTGATTCTTTAATAGAGACCAAGCAAAGATTCAGCCAGGCACTGCAGCTCATACTTTCTTCCAAGGGAATTCTGAAATTCACCCTTAACCAACAAAACCTGAGTTCACCAAGGTGACCCTAGGTTAGGTGACCCTAACTGAAATTAATGTCAAAGGAAGCTAACTTGGCTCTGAGGACTCAGAAGGAGCTAGAGAAAATGTGCTTTCCCTTGCTTTTACCCAAACCAATTTTTGTGTACACTAATGAACTGTACTTTCAAAAAGCAATTGAGGGGTTGTTCAGAGCAAACCCAGCCAGACACTGATTGTGAAAACAAACACTGACATACAGATATTCAGGATTAATTTTATATTTCAGCTTGCAACAATAATCAGTGATGTTACCAAGCACACACACACACACACACAAAAAAAAAAAAAAAAAAAACATTTTATATTTCAGCTTGAAACAATAACCAGTGATGTTACCAAGCACATAAAAAAAAAAAAAAAACCACTTGAAATTATCTCTGTGCATATTGCACAGAGAGCAGCCACATAAAACAAAGGCAGCTTAACTTCACTCCCTGACTCTGCAGTAAGTTCATCCTTAATAATTGAGCTTATCTAGTTTTTCTTTCTCACACCATATGACCAGTCTCCAAAGGTAGCTGATAGGATCTGGAACCTTGCTGGTGTGTTTGGGCTGTTCTGTCCTGCCACAGGCACACACAGGATCCAGGACAGTTCCCAGCTCCTGGGAGTCTGCGGGCCAGAGGAAGACAATTTACAGAAGTTCAAACACCAGCAACAAGCAGAGGCACCATGCTGTGCTCTTAGTAGCAAGTGTCAAAAGACATTTAAATGATGCTTCATTACAGCTTGTACTGTAGGGTGGTGAAAAGCTGTGAGCTGAAAACAAGTGGGCTGACCTGTGTGTTATTTTTGCAGCGGGAAGAATTTCAGCACTCAGCAGAGCATCATGCAGCAGTTCTGTGTGATAGGTGGGTGCAGCACTATCATGGCCAAGAGGGGTGGTGATGACATGCAAAATAAGTGCATTTATGACTTCAGGCTATCAACAAGTGCTATTCTCAGAGACAAGCAAAGGCCACACTTGCTGGCAGCAAAATGTGTACGTGCAAGCAGAGGTTACTCACTCCACTTAACCCCACTTCCCCAAAGGACAAAACTTTCTGAGTTTCAATGGAGCTGAATTAGGAGCCTTGATTAGCCTAGCTGATGAGGATTTGGGTGTGAGAAGTCAGATTAACTGAGTTTAGCCACTACACACTAAAAGGCACCTCCTTTCCTGTGCTCAGTTCCAGAGCTGCTTCCCTTAAGCAGTAACCATGTCAGGTCCTGGCCCTCACCATCCTCTGTCCCCTGAGCAGAACTTTCAGAGAAACAAAACAAATCACAGTCTCACAGCTGGAAATCTCCCATGATGCTGATGGAAATATCTGGAATTTACTTCAAATTGTACCCATTCATTTCAGAGGTCTTTTCAACACTACTTAACAGCACCTTTTTTGCTGCATTTGTATGAAAACTGAACAAGTCCTTCCTGTAGTTTCCCCCTTTATGTTGATGTTCGCCTAAAGAGAGTCTTATCAGCTCCATTTTCCAGCCTCTCTGAAGATGTTACGTAGCATTTTGTCAGTTTAGGAACACATCCTCATTCTTCTTTCCATTATCTCGGTATTTTGGTTTCCAGGAGGATATTGAAAAATGAAAAGAAATGTCATTTGTTATTAAAATGTTGCCAATACTTTCACAGATGCAACCTGGCCTCTGGAGGAGACACACTGATTTCACCCTTCTGAGACAGAAGGCACAAGAATTTTGATAGTCATCATGGAGAGATGAAGGAACAGTTTATCCTATCTTAAAAGAGATGTTGAAGGATCCTTCCTTCCTTCCTTCCTTCCTTCCTTCCTTAGGATCAGCATTTATCTAAAAGTTTTTTTTGCTTTGTTCCACCTGACCGAGGACCTGATCCACGTATATATTTTAGAATATCACAGTTTATTTAAGATTATTACTGCTTTTGCATGCATTTTCCCCCCTTATTTATAGTGAGATCTTCAGGCACCACTCTGGGATTTTGTCCACCTTGGCATGCAGTCTCTCCCCTCTGGTTATGATGCTCAGAGGAAAGTCCTGTACTCCTCTCTGACATGTGAGTACAAAAGGCTGGTGCAGGGATGATGTGGGTAAAGGAGTACAAATCTCAGAATTGTCCCAAGTGACATTAGAAATCAGTTACTGGGTTTTTTTTTCATATTTTAGCTTTGCAGATGGCTGAGGGATGCATGATTTCTCCCACTGAGCTTTGGGGCAACATGACTGCAACCACTGGAGCTTTGCTGAAGTCAGTGGACTCCACAATCCCTGCGATTCCTCTTAACAAACTTACAGCTCTAAACTTGTTCCAAATGCCAGACATCTTTCACCACGAGACAGGTGTAGCCAAGACATCACACAGCAAGATTTGGTGTGCAAAAGTAAGTTTAATTAAAAGCATTGAAAGTGAAACTTAAAGAGAAACCAGAAAGACTGAGTCGTGCAGCTCCAGTAGAAAATGTCACTGTCAGGTTACTGTTGGCAACTTGACACCTCTCATGATCTTCAAAGTATCGGTGCCCCTTTAAAATGGCACAAAATTCACTGAAATGCTTTTGAAATTCCCACCTGCTTTTACCTGCCCACCTTTTCTGCTTACCCACACATAAGGAAAATGCTTTTTTCTGTCTTTCTCCAATTTATCAATTTTTTTCAGTCTCAAGGTCATTAAATGTAGGATAGCTGTTTTAAATATTGAATTACAAACATATTCTGCTGTCTCTGCTGTCAACAGCCGCTGCAGAGTTGCACTCAGTGCTCTTGCTGAAACAGAAAGAGATGGCAATAATCCAGGCAAAGTCTCTGCAGGAGGCACCACAGGGAGCTGGCATCCACCCAGGCCCAGGGAATGGCTCCTCTGCCAGCAGGCATCGTGCTGGCCCCTCTGCCTGCTCGAAACACCTCCATCCTGGAGCATTTGAAAATCACATAACAAACATCAATGAGTACTGTTGACCAGCTTCCTTCCTCCTCAAGATCGCTTGCATAGTATGGAAAATATTTTGAGGTAATGTCATTATAGCAACAGGTTTAATTACTTCACACATTTTGGAGTGTGGGTTTCAGCTTTACGTTTTTCCACTTATTTGTGACAATGACATGATTTTTGGTGATAAAAGGTTCCTAATCACAGTTACTTGGTAGACAAGTGCAAAGGAAGAGCAGCTGTCATCAGGAAGAAAAGGAGCTCAAATCCTGCCTGTCTGGGATTGCTGATGAGGGAAGCCACGTGTATGAAACCAGACCATGAAGTAGCCCCTCTCTGCCTGCACAAGCTTTCATTCCACTTGTGAGCTTGGGTGGGTGCCTGAAAGTTAAGTATCTGTAACCTGAGGGCAAAAGCCTAAACCCTAACAGAGTAATATTTGGAAAATTCTGGATTTGCTGATGATGGAAAAGCACTGAATACCCATCAAGGAATTCAGCAGCAGGCTGAAATATCAGTTTTTCATTGAGGTGAAGAAACCATAAATTTTCCATGTGCCATTTGCAAAACAGAATGGCAAATTCTGATTTATCTCACAAATGTTGCATCATCCAAATTCTCAGGAACACTTTTTATCTCTTTGGAAGACTTAATTTATTCATCTACTTATTTTCATTGATGTGAAAGCAACGGGAACTGAAATAAGTAAGATCCAAAATAGTGAGAGGATAGATTGTTGTCACTGTAGCTGGAAGGAGAGGACAGATTATATCTAAGAGAGTTGTTGGCCTCATTTAGACTGACTGAGGATGGTTGGAGGATGCTGTGGAAAGACAACTGACAGGTTTGGGACCAGCCTGAGAGGCAGCATTGTGGTACACAATGTGTTGGTGCAAGAAGGTGGACAAGGGAGTGAAAGCTAGAATAAAGACAAAACAAGGAGGAAAAACCATGAATGTGAACAAAGAAAACTGTTGTCTAGACAAGAGAATAATAGATACCAGAATACTGATATGCTGAGAAAATAGACCAAGAGCTGAATCCTGCCAAGCCCATAGGCCCTAATCTGACAGTGCCCAACTCATCTTGGCCCTTTCCTTCCTGCAGAACTAGAGGAAGGGAGGCTGGTAGAATATTATGTGTATTTTCTACTTATTTGTAGGTATTTTATACTTATTTTCCACAGGTGTGTGAAAAATACAGTTACAGCAGCACATTCATATTGCTCAAACACCTGTGCTTAATTATTTTCACAGGCTCACATCTCAGTGCTTGGAAAGATAGATTCAATGAGCAGGGATGACTGTGCTGCTCTGGATGAGTCTTTTGAGGCAGCTGTTTCCATGGTGTTTAAGCATTAAATACACTGAGTGACATTCCTGAAGCTCCTTGCAAGGTGGCTGGGCTGTGACTGAAGTTAGGAGTTGAAAACATAAGAACTTTTATTCAGATGATGGTCAGAAGTTTATCAGGCAGGTGGAAGACAAAGAATTCCATTATGTCCTTCTGCATGATCCACTAAAATACTTCTGCAGTATTTTAGTTTATGTATCTGTCAACACACGTCACTGAACTGTAAAACTCTCAGTGGGCAACTTTTTATATTTGGATATAGATGTCCATCTGCATGATCCAGCACTGCAGCATTTTAGTTTATGTATCTGCCAACACACTTGTCACTGAACTGTAAAACTCTCAGTGGGCAACTTTTTATATTTGGATATATCTGCCTATCCTTGAAGAAACCTGGATAAAATATTTCTCCTTTCTTTCCTTCCTGCTGTAAATGATCTTATTCTGTGTTAAAGGCATTTTTAGCTAGAAATAGTAGCAATTCTATTGCTATTACTGCAAATTGATAGATGTGCCCTAATGCAAACAGCTTGTGAGACAATCCCTGTGCTTTTGATAACATTTTGAAGGCATCACAGTAATTGTTAACTAGTCCATTAGGGATGTTCTAGCTTTTAAAATGTATTGATTTAAATTATGTATGTTAATCTATCAACATTAAAATGTAGTTTGCAGCAAACTGCTTATAATATATGAATGATAAGCCATAAATAATAACTGTGGCTGTAAATTAAATTCCTTGATTAAGCTGCAAAGATGCACTCTAATTTGGAACAGAAAATTACTTTGAAGTGATTTCAGCAGCTGATAATTCTTTTAGAGCAGCAGAGTTTTATGAGCCATAGTCTTCTTCATGTTAGACACCAAACTTTGTGGTGGATTTTTGCCCACTAACATGGTTAGTTGGGTATTGCTATGCCTCGAATGCAATGGGTGTAACAAACTGACCAAATAATGAGTGACAACTATTTTAGCCAAAATATGAAAGTGCTTAAAATCAAACACATTAATTCTTTTCTGATAGAATGTGAATAACCTTGGGTTGGGTGTCAGCAAGAGCAAAGCCTCTAGAAGAGCCTTAATTCTGAAACACAGCAGAGACAGTATATAAAAGAGTTGCAGTTATTTTGGAATTTTTAATAGGCACAATAAATAATGGTATTGTAAAACCCCTAAAACCTTCAGCAGAATTTAATATGAGGCTCTGAAATACAAACTGAGCAGAAATGCAATGCTTGACCTCTTCTCACAACACATCTTACATTGCTGGTACAGTAGATTAGATTCTGGATGAGTTTCAATAGATAGAATAACTAAAAATAACTTACCAAACATGGACTTCTGTACCCAAAAGTTGCTTTGATAGCTTTCATGTATCTAAGTGGAAAGGGATGAAGTTGTGGGAAAGTACTGGAAAGTACTGGAGAGCTTGTGTTCCAGGAGCAGAGAGCCTTTTCTGTGTATCCCAAGAGAAGTACTGCACCTCCTTGGAACCAGAGTACAGCCTGCCACTGTTGGGACACAAGGCTTGCCTGGAGCTCAGGGCAGCACTGCTGTATATCCATAAGGAGACTCCTTCTCAAACCCTCTTTGCCTAAGGACACCCTAGACATGTGCTGGGGCACATGGATTCCTTGGGGATTGTGACACAGTGGGGTTGGAATTTGTGGGCTTCTCCTTTAGGGCACCTTTAGCACACCCAAGGCAGGGGCACACCAACAATGGTTCATCTGGGCTGGGTGAGCAATCAGATTTCTCATTAAAAACAAAAAGACACTGATAAATGAAATATAAAACCAATTCAATTTTAAGACTGGCAGGTACTTCCAGTTGTCTGGGTGCATTTCTCCTATAATCCAGTATTTCTAAATGTCCCAGCTATCTGAGGCTTGGGGTCCACCTCCTTCTTCTGAGTTCTTCCACTAGATCTCAGCTCATACATTTGTTGCTCTGAAACCCAATTTCTAGGCACTTTAAGTGGGGGTTGTTTTTTTCCCCTTCAATAAATGCAAATGATGGGAGATGGTGTGATCATGCATCACAGGATGATGAAGGATTCAAAGTGCTTCCAAGTAAATGGGACTTGTTTGATCTCTCAACCCGATATTACAAATCATTTGTTTATTTAATTATAGTTTGATTTCTCCTCTGCTAAATGTGCTTGGGCAGAGGTGTCTAAGATGTAGATACAGAGAAATATACATATATCTGTTTATATTATTCAAGTAGTATTAATATTTAAAACTTCCATTGATTGATAGCTTCCATTGATAATTAGCTCAAGGCTGATTTCAACACACATCTACTTTCCTTATCTAAAGAAATGTCTTTGGAGCAGGATCTGATGCAATTTACTGGTATTCCCAGACATGACTGTTACAGGAAACACCTTAATAGCTGAAAGTGAGATATTTGAGCCTAACTCGTGGTCTAAATGCAATTCACCTCAACATAGAGGTGAATTTGGAAAAGTTTCTCTATGAGAAAATAAGAATAGACTTCTTAAAAGCAGATAAATAGACAGAGATACTATGAGAAATAACAATATTCCTACTTATTTCCTTGTTAAAATTTTCCTTTTCAGATAACACAAGATGTAGGATGTAGTCAGCCAGCAGGCTTGAAACAGAAGTATTTATTTACACAGTCTAATTATTTGGTGGAATATATTGCCACAAAATAATCTGGGGACAAACCAAAAATGGTTTTCAAAAGCTGGATGAATCACTGGGAAAAAACATTCCCCCCTTAAGTACAGTGATCTGCTACCATCTGAATAAGAAAATTCCTCTGCCATCACGGAATTGATTTCCAAATTGCCAGAAGCTTGGAAGACACACCAAACTTGGAAGAAAAGTGTCACTGCATGTTCCTCTTGCTTCCCCTCTTACTCTGCCTTTTTCCTTCAGCATTTGCCCTTGGCCTCTGTGGGTGGGGTACAATCAACCTGATGCCTGAATATGGCTATTTTCATGTATGGGTAGATTTTTCAGAAAGACCTTAAACTTCAGAGATTAGTAATGACATTAGAGAAAAGAAGTTTTTTGGTTTTAAAGAGATGGATGCAATGATATGAAGAAATGCAATATATTGTGAAATCCTTACCTTTGTAAAGTATGAAAAGAATGCAAATCAGAACTTAAACAAATATAAACTACACTGAATGTCTTTGAAGATTGTGCATAGGTAGTTCTCCATTGGACTCCATGCAACACCCACATAATTAGTAATGAATTTGCTTAATGAAACAACCTTACAGAACTGCCAAAATGCTAAGTATGGAGCAAGTAAAGCAAAAGCCTCAGGGAATTTAGGGAATCTACAGTAATGCAGCGTCTAACCTATGTCCTGCATTCCACAGGACCAATGGAGGAATTTCCTTCTACTCAATGTGAATTTCATTATTTTGGGAGACTTAATCTTTAAATCAGGCCCTTTGACACTGTCTCATAATGTGAAAAATAACTGGATTTAAAGAAACCTAAGTAATTGTTAATTTTTAAAGCAAAGGTTAGAAGGGCAGTTTCACATCCATTTTTTCCTTTATCCTACTTTTCTGGTATTAATCAGCATGTCCTTTGGCTCAACTGCATGGGCATTAAGAGTATCCTATCACCACTGCAAATAAATGGAGCAATAAAAAAAAAATCTTCTCCACCTACCTCATATAAGCTCTGTGAGACACAGACTTTTCTTGGTCACTTATTTCAATAGTGCAATAGAACTTGACTCCCAAATGATTGATAAAAGTTCTTCTAGATGAGAAAAATTTATTAAATTTTGCTCTTAATTCTTTGCCCTTAAGATATGGCATTAGAAATCTGGAGTTCTGACTGCAGTCAGGGTAATGCACAACTTCATTTAACTCACTGAAAGGCTTCACTATTTGCTTCTGGTATTTCAAAATTACAGCAAATGTCTGATGGTGGACTAATGGATTGTTCTTTATGCCTCTGGAAGAATTCCCCAATCTCCTTAAACAACACTTTTTTACCCAGCTCTCTTATTTTCTCTCCTTCAAGAAGTACCAAGCAGATTAAAAATGTGGCTTTTAAACTATGTGCCTAACAAATTGCTGTGTTATGACTCTCTTTTTTTCTATAACAGAGAGAAAACATTGCAGTTGGAGTTTGAGTAAAGTTATGAAATCCCTGATGTGCAACAATTGTGGGGTGGACAAGCTGAATGTTTTTTCATGGTCACAAGACAGAAAACATAAAAGAGGAACATCAGTGAAATAATCAGCTGGTGGAGCACAGCTTTTGGCTAAGAAAGACCTCTTAACACTGTAGCACTTCAAAGCCTGACTAAAAATACAAACAATATAGTCTACCTGCTTTTTATTTACTGCATTGAGCCTATTCAGCAACAACAGATTGTCTGACCTGTGCATGGGATTAGTTTCCAGTGGAGCTGTTATATTTCAGACTCCCAAAAGTAAAACCCACTTGACATCTGGGAGAAAAGGGCAGCAAATATATGACAAAATTTAATGAATCCAAGGGAAGCAAGGGTTCAAGTAAAGGTGAAAAATAATCATATTTTAAATGTCAATGGGTAGTATAGGCTACTACTGTATTGCTTTACTCCTGGTTTTAATAGGGTATCATTGCAATTTTCAATTGGGTTGCACCAGGGTAAAACTGGGAAACAGAGCCCTTAGGCTGCTTTAATTTATAATAGGATATAAATTATTTGGAGCTGAAATTCCATCAGTTTAGTGGCACAGTGTTAAAAAGTTTAAGCTACATCCATGAAAAATACAGATTTTTCTAACTATGTGCAAATGTTAGTACTTTTGAGTCTGTATTTGACACTGTGTCAGTAACCAATATGAAAAAAAAAGCACAGATTTCCTTGTGCTCAAATCAAGCCCATCAAACAATTCGAGCTATCAAACAATTTGACTCTTATCTGCCTCCTTCCTCACAGCTGAGGAGGCTCAGAAACACAGACAAACAAGCAATTGTCTGTAAATAGACTATAATAGAAGATAATAATGAAAATATATCTCATTAGCCATTTCCTTGTCCTGGTACCTTCACAACTTTTTGGTTTGCATTTCATGACTGATGACCACACTCTGGTTACATCCTAAGTGAATTCTACATGGGCCTATTCCAACAGTCTCTGCAATTTAATGACACTTCAGTATTTGTTTTAGTCCTGCCAATTTCTACACCTAACACAGACCTAGATGAACTTTCCAACTCCTCAGAAGAAAGCTTCTATTTTTACAATTTAAATGTGTTCTGGTAAAAATATTCCAGGTTGCAGAATATTCCCTTCCTTTGGAGGCTACAAAGCACCCATATCCTTCAATATGACTTAATTAAATGACAGCTATACTTAATTAAGGCAAAATTGCAGTGGGTAGGATGGTCAACTTCAGTACAAATAAAATAAATGTTCTGGGACTAAAGAAGAGTCATTCTGTTCCTGTTCTCCCAAGCTCTGCTGGAAATATAGGCTGACAGGTTAATAGAAGCATTTCCAAACAGTTGTAAGAAATCAGCTATCTGATTCAAGAATTCTGTTCCTTGGTTAACTTACAATTCAGCTACTGAAAACTTGATTTTCCCATCTGTGAGTTGACAAAATGGAATGAACACAGTATTAATATTTATGTTCCAAATAGAAAAGGCTTTCAAAGCATGTTCATAAAGTGGAAAATAAAAGCAGCAGTTTATCCAAAAGTTTCTGGCATTTTGTAAATTTAAAATGTATCAGCCTTGCTGCCAGGATTTGTTGGTTTAAGAGCAAGTAATCATATTTTATAGAAGTTATTAATATAGGTGAACTTCTGTATCATTTGAATGTTCTCTAGTATATGGATCAGTTAATTTCAACTACAGTTCATACTGTTATGAGTGTTTATTCCAAAATTGCCCACAGGTGGGAGAAAATGTTTACTGGGTCTGGTTGAAATGTTTCATGATAGCAATGTTTATATTCTACATAAAGATCATTCAACTGAATGTGTGTGCATGTGAACCAGAGGTATCAGTAAAAATCACATCCATATGAAAATACAGTAAGCGTTTTTTTCTTTCACAAGAGTCTAATTTCTAATTAATCATGTTGCCTTCTTCTGAATAAAATCCAGTATCTTATATAACTTGACAATCATTAGAAATAGCTGATGGAAAATGAAATGTTTTGTTTGAAACAATTTCTTTAATCCCTATGCATGGAATCGCTCTCCTTGGCCCGTCAATACTTCCCACCTTGCTGATATGTGCTCCAAAGTGGTTACATCCAAATGTCCAACTGCTAAGAGTGGATGGCCTGCACTCTAATGATCTGCATTTACCCACTGAGAAAATGTAAAAAAGGACACATTTTTTTCCTCACATTCTTGTAACAGCAACTGCCAGCCCAGGATACTTTTATTATTACTGATATTCTTACATTGGTTTCCAGTTCAAGAGAGGAAAATCCTTTAGGATTTTCCACAGGCCCACTACAGGAACTGACTCTCCAGGCAGTACAAGCATAAGATAATAAAATATCTGGATGTTTCACAGGTACTTCTGTGCAAAACCTGATTCTATTTTTTCCTTTTTGCATATTGAAAAAACCCACCACAACTGCACACAGCACAAGGCAGACAAATCCCTACCTTTTGCTTATAGGTTCCATGTACAGAATTGGGTACAGTAGAGAAAATTCAGGATGGGAAGTCCTGAAAGTGATTAAATTATATTGGATTTCTTTCAGAAGATTGAGCTGAGAGAAAGGAGTGATTGAGTGTGTGTCCCTCAAGTTGGGATGGAAAGAGTGAGAGATTTTGGTTTGACTTTTTTTATGATGGATGTCAGCAGAGATGCTCTGATACCTTACTGGAAAAACTACCTGCCGTTTCTTTCTGAGAGAAAGGAGTGATGGTGTGTGTGTCTCCCAAGAGTGAGAGATTTGGGTTTGACTTTTTTTATGATGGATGTCAGCAGAGATGATCTGATACCTTACTGGAAAAACTACCTGCCCTTTCTTTATCTGGATTACTAAAGTTATTCTTATTTAACTTGTAATGTATTGCCAGCAATGAAGATAAGGAGGGTCACTTGTGTTTGTGGACATTGAAAAGGAAGTCCATGACTAATCAAGGACCTAGGATTTGCAAAAATGCTCTCTGAAATATTAATTTCTCCATCAATTCTTTGGGCTCTCTGGATTTGTGCAATGGACAACAACACACTCACTACCCAAGTGGTGCATGTTGTTTTCATAAAGAACTCATTTTTTACTGCTGTGACTTGGCACCATCATGTGGCCACTTTGAGTTTTCTCAACTTAAGTAAAAATTTACATAGAAAAATGTTTGCAATTAATTAATTTAAACTTACAAATATTTCAATCTATTTCAGAAGGAGAAGGTATATATCTTAAATATATCTGTTCACTAAATACTGAATACACTGTCTATGAATTGTCATTTTTTCACCAAATCTGAGCTTGTTTAATCAAGATTTTACTCATGTTCTTTAAGCCAGCTTTTCTTAAGTTACAAAAGACATTTTCAGTTCTTCATCTTGGTCCAACCCTTAACAGCAGCATACAAAAATTAGCATATTATGGACAGCTGTCCTCTTTCTCACCACAAGAGCTTTGGAAATTATTTGCAGAATTAAACAGGTAAGTACTTTCTGGTTTATGTCAGCAATCCCAAGAGATTTAGAATTTCAGAAAATCTCCCAGACATATTGTTCACATAGACCAATCCAAACAGGGAGGGTACATCTCAGAACCTGAGTTAGTCAGGTATTCCCTTGGCACAGTTTCAGAGTCAAAATCAGAAGGTAGATATGTGTGATGAAATTTGTGTTTTGATATGTTTGCATATTGTCTTTAGGTGGACACAAGAAAGTTTTACCAAGCATTAATGTTTAAGAGGCCCAGAGGTGGAAATCTCCTCACATTCAGGTTGTACAGAAACACAACTTTATGTTTGCCAAAGAATTGCTGTGATTTCTTTCAGAGTGAAATAAGGAGAAACAGCAGTGCAATTTATAGGAATGCATTTTTGCTATTTTTAAAAATATATGTACATCTAGAGTACTTTCAATAATGAAACACAGCCATCATATTTCTGAGTACAATAATAGTAAATTTGATTTTGTAATTTTTTATGATAAAATATATTGTTTCAGTTGAAATATTGTATTGGTAGTCTTTAAAATATACAGAAGTTATATACAAATTACATTATTTTTTTTAAATTGAAGTAAAAAATAAACTACACATTTTGCAATAAATTGTATAACCCTGTTTCTAAAAAGACTGCAATAAAATAGAATACAGTTTGTCAGATTCCTCAGGCTGAGGTAATGCCCACTTCTTCTTTACATACTGAATGTCTATCTGTCCAGATTCCTTGGCCAGCACAATGCCTAAGAATCCATTTGCTTTTTCTGGTTCTCCCAGCAGAGTCATAGTTACAACCCTGAAATCAAAAGAAGAGGGGAGTGTTTTTTAATTGAGGCAAAAGAAAAATAAATTGGTGCTTTTAAACATGTTTGTATCAGGTTACTTACAGTCAACTAAATGATTCTTATTGTCTGCTCAGGCCCCAGCATGTTCTTTAGCTTTTCACAGTTCCAACCATTTAATGTAAATATAACATGCAATTCTTCCCCCATGCATTTTATCATCAATTTCTAATCATGGTTGTAAATTATTTTAAGCTTGTAAAAATGAACAATGTTGATTGCATTTTACAGTACAGTGTAATAAATTTAAAATTTAAATAATTTAAAATTTAAAAAATTTTAAAACTGTAGTAATTTCTCCAAAAACTAGCAATGTGTTGCTACAGTTAACAAGGACACAAGGAAAACTTTTAGTTAGAGGGATATTCAGCAAGACTAACTTCAGCCTAGGGAAGACAGTCAAAATTTAGCTCACTGTAGTTTGTTTCCACACCTTCAGTAGTTCACAAAATAAGAGTTAGAAAAGCAAATTCTAAAGATAATTTAAAATCAAGCAAAAAAACCCATGCAGCAATAGTAATATTTTGTTAAAAAGAGAGCACTTACCTCTCTGATGGGATAGTCTGCTTGGCCACAGGCAACAAATCATTTTCCAGAAGATCCCAGATGTAAATATTGGATGATGCATCCAGGGCAAAGAACACAGCAGGTCTTGTCAAAGCCCACTGCAGGGCAATAATTGGCTGCCCCTTTGTGCTGCCATTCCACTGCATGAGGGGATACTCTGATGTCATCTGGTGTAACCTAATACTTCCATCTGAACAGCCAACCTACACCATAAATGAAAACAAAATACCTTCTGGAACAAAACAAACTAAGCAAGATATAAAAAGTGGTGTTTAGGTATCTGGCTTACTGGTGGACTTGGAAGTGATAGGTTAAAGGTTGGACTTGATGATCTTGGGGGTCTTTTCCAACCCAAATTATCCTATTATTCTGTGATTTTTTTTTTTTTGTCACCCTTCATGGCAGATTTGAATTAGTGAGGTAAATCTACTAACACAACTAGTTATATACATCAAATTACAAATACTGCCTCACCAAGTAATTAAAAAACAAAACTTCTATTAAAACACTTTCATACCAAAAACAGTGGCTTTCCAAAAGGGAAGAAATCAATTGCAGTGATGCTTATTGATCTCAGTCTGCTCTCCTGGGGCCTGAATACCTTTGGAGTAACTTTGAAATCATGTCTTGTACCATGGCCTACCAGACCCTATGAACAATATAAAGAAAATTCATTAAACAAAACATCAAAAGAAGTTGCATTATTGGTATTACAGGAAAGAGGTAAATAATTAATGAGCTGATACTTTAAAAGATCCTTACTAGCTAACAAATTTTAACAGGTAACAGCTTTTAACAATATAGGCTCAAGTTATAAATTTTATATAGTCTACTGGTAAAATCCCAACTAAATAAGACAGCTTCTAAACCAAAAAACTAACAACGAGATGAATTCCAGGATGGTACTCACAATGTTGGTTCCGACAATGAAGTGATTGGGATTAGAAGACAGAAATTTAATAGTCAGTGTCTGTGGCATTCTCTGGCTAATATCCTTTGGGAAAAGGCTGAGGAAAATGGAAAAGGCAAAAGATGACATTAACACAGTGAATTGTCTCCAAAAGCTGTGCAAGTACATACAGAAACTCTTTATCTAAAATGTCTATGGCTAGATCTAGGAAGAAATGTGTATTTATGTTGAAATTATGTTGTATTTATGTATTTTGTATGAAATGTGTATTTAAAAACCCCCCAAAACAGAAAATGATGTTAAGCATATCTCATGTAACAGCAAATTAGTAAAGTATAGGAAAAATTAGTTTTGTGAGATAACATGTAAAATTGTAATGTCCCAGTTTTCCTACCTGTTACTCAATTCCATAGTTGAGCTATGTACTAACTTCACTTTCCCTCCAGGAACCAAACCTAAAATTATAAAAAATTATTATTTGAACTGACTTAAGCACTTAAAAAGTGCATTTAAAGATTGCATTTAAAAAGTGCAATCAATAAATTAAATCGTAAGGTAATAAGTAAAAAGGATATTTTATAATTAGTTTACTGCAGATACAGCCTTTGACATGTAAGAATCTTACATAATTCAGAACTATTTGCTTCAGAATTCAAATCTGAAGAGTTACAATCTTTGACAGAAATAGAAACATAGTTACACCTTTCTTTTTCAGCACTCTGTAAGACTCAATTCTAGAAATGGTTAAAATGCACATTTATGTTACTTGGATCTTTGACAATGAATTATAGTGATGAGATAGTGCAATAATGCATCCACAAAGTTGGTCTATGTTACTTGTTAGCAGAGAACAACATAAATAATGCAAATCCTTCAAAGACAATAATTTTTTGAAGAGGAAAAAATTTTATTGCTGGTTGCAGTAAAA